TTGGTCGCCAAAGGGTAATCTTCCGCGACAAAAAAAGCCTCTGGTCGCCAATAGTAGACTTTTCGCGACCAACTTTTTTTTTTGGTCGCCAAAAGGTGATCTTTCGCGACCAAAAAAGCCTTGGGTCGCCAATAGCATACTTTCCGCGACCAACTTTTTTTTTTGGTCGCCAAAGGGTAATCTTCCGCGACCAAAAAAGCCTTTGGTCAGCAATAGTATACTTTCCGCGACCAACTTTTTTTTTTGGTCGCCAAAGGGTATACTTTCCGTGACCAACTTTTTTTTTGGTCACCAAAAGGTGATCTTCCATGACCAAAAAAGCCTTTGGTTGCCAATAGTATACTTTCCGCGACCAACTTTGTTTTTGGTAGCCAAAGGTGATTTTCCGCGACCAAAAAATTGTGGTCGCCAAAAGTTAAATTTTAGTCACAGAAAGTGGACTATTTGCGACCAAAAAAAATAGGTGGTCGCCAAAAGTGTTTTTTCTTGTAGTGGTAGAAGCACTCTCCTAATAATGTACACACCGACACCCTCCTACGATGGCAATCTATCACAGCCCAATAACAAGTCAACCAATCTATACCCAGAATTATGTCGAAAGTGTGCATATCAAGAACAACAAAATCGAAAGAGAGTCAACGATCTACGACCTCAATCTCATAGGAGCAGCATACTCGACCCAATGGCACTCTACCCCCAATGGGTGTTTTAACCAAAAGTGGAGACACCAACAACTCAAACTCCAACCCCAAAATGGATGCAAAAGAAAACGATATGAAGGAATGAGATGCACCAATATCGATCAATACATTAGCAATAAAGTTGAACAACAAGAAGTTACCTCTCGCTATAGAAGGTGTTGGAAATTGATCTGGAGTGGTAATAGCATACACATGCCCTAAAGGCCTCTAATCCACACACTCACCTCTCAGAACATAGGCCTGATATATGGATTGAGCTGAAGTGGCTCCCTAATTGGCCCTCGAGGCCTGTTCTAACTGTGCTGGCTGATGGCTTTGTGTCTACCTCGAACTAGACACACTAGATCTGCCACCAGACTGAGGGAAAAACCTTCTCAAGTGCCCCAACTGCCCATATTGAAAACATGTAGGCAGCTAACGTCTCCCCTGACGCTGGCTCTGACAACAAGCTAAAGACAGTGCAGACTGTTGCCCCTCCTCGTCTCTGCGGGCAAACTGAAGACTTGTAGCCTAATTGATCGAACTTGAAACAAGTGAACCTATCCTAGTTACCTCTCCCCGAACTCGAACTCGACATGGGAAAGGTAAATCTAAATTGCGTAGCTTGGGACTACTACGGGGTGGAACCCCTTAGCCGTTTGGTGTCCCTTGCATCTCCCTAAACATCCTGACTCCTCTACTTGGAGCCCCTCATCCGCTATTCCTCTGCCTGGATCACCGTCTCTAGGTGGCCCACCGCCTCCACTAGATAACCGTAATACCTAATTACAGACTCAACCACCTTGAAAAAGAGCTTGGTCCTCAGCCTCTTCTCGAACTCAATGCAATGGTGTTCCTCCATTGCCATAAATTCCGATGCAAACCTCAAAAGGCTAGTGAAAGCCGCCTCAAACTCGACCACTAGTGTGTTTAACTATTTGAGCTTCAAAGGCTACTCCCTCAACTTCTTCCTCACTGTGGGTGGCAAAAACTTATCTTTGAACTGTATCGCCTTTAAGTTGAAAAGATGCTAATGTCAACCTCAACCCATCACCAACTCCACGGAACCGAGTCCGAAATGCAACTTAACAGTAAAAGGAATACCGGAATCGCTATAAGAGGGTTAAGTCTGCTGGCAGTAGAGAAAACATATCATTTTGTCATATCTTTGCATCACTACAACAAATTTGGGATTTAAAGACGAAACAAATTTGTCCCAAAATATATATATTTCGTCACTCAAACTAATTACGACGAAAATTTTTCGTCACCCGTTTTGTCGCCAAAGCCTCGTCGCTAAAGGGTCGTAGAGACGAAAAAACAATTTCGTCATTGAAAATGATAAATTTGTGACGAATTTTTTTGTCTCCAATACGCTTTGGGAACATACTTGTAAGTAATTGGCGACAAAATATTTTGTCATTAAAGGAAGAAATTAGAGACAAAAGTATTTCGTCATAAATATAAGAAATAGAGACGAAATAATTTTGTCACGCTTAATATAAACGAAGACAAAAAAAATTTGTCAAAGAAGCTACCAGTAGAGACAAAAACAAATTCATCATTAAAAACGATAAATTTGTGACGAATTTTTTTGTCTCAAATATACTCTGTTGGGAACATACTTGTAAGTAATTAGCGACAAAATATTTTGTCATTAAAAGAGAAATTAGAGACACAATTATTTTGTCATAAATATAAGAAATGAAGATAAAATAATTTTGTCACGTTTAATATAAACGAAGACGAAATTTTTTTGTCAAAGAAGCTACCAATAGAGACAAAAACAAATTCATCATTAAAAATGATAAAATAATGTCAAAAAAATTCGTCACACATTGAGGATAATAGTGACAAAATGTGACAATATTTTTTGTCACGACAAATGCATTTAGTGACGAAATAAAAAAATCATGACAAAATTAATCATCCACTTAAGCGAAATAAGAGACAAAAGAACCTTCTTTAGGGATGAAAAATTTTGTCAATAATTTCATAATATTTTTTTTCCATATTAAATACCTATTTTATCAAAATCTAAATTTTAGTTCAACAAATATAACCCTGTTCATGTTGAAACCTATTGAATATAACAATTCCATCACAACTTAACCTAACCTGTTATCAACACATTTACAAATTAACAAAATGAAAATATCCATTCATCATCACAAATAATTTCATCCTAATACAATAAAATAGTGAAATATCCACAAAATATCCAAAAGTTATAACTTGTTCAATTTTACCAAAAATCCAACAATAACTAGTGCAACTCCACAAAGTATGTGTATCCTTATCAAACAAAAATGAACATTCAAGCAAATTAGATCATTGTTGCACGTCAAAAATGCCACCCCAATCCAATCTGCAAAAAAATAAATTAAAAGCTTTAGTAATTAATTAATTATACAAAAGATTAAAAACATTAGTAACTCATCAATTTACAATTAGATCAATTATACAATTTACCCCTCTAACAGACTTTTTTTTCGAGATTATGAGAACAAAAAATTAATTTTAAGGCTAATTCACAAATGGTACATCCCATTAATGTGCCGTAAGTTCATATAACTTATATTGGTCCATTTAATTCTTAAAGTGCAAGGATACGTACCAGTTTTTCTACTCTAACAGGGATTGACCTAGAACCACACCTGTGTTTTGTATACATCCTTTCTCTGTTCGCGATGTTACCCTTTGATTGCTCTTATAAGAAAGAATGACCAATATAATAATGAAATGTATCATTAGTAAGACAAATATGTTAGCTTTTGATTGTTCCTGTAAGGAAGAATGAACCAATATAACAATGAAATGTATCACTAGTAAAACAAATTTAATGCTTGATAATAAAGAATTGCATTGTTCATATCTATCCTTTTCCTATATATCATTTCAACTTAAAAGATGTTTCAAATTATTCACTAGTTTCATTCAATTCTTTGAAATATAGATTAGAGGACTTGTTGAGATTTCATTATAAGATGATTTTTCTAGGTGAAAAAAGAAAAACGAGTAATTTACACCGTTCACAATTAGGGGGCATATAAGCATGGGCAAGATAGATTGTGAAAAAATCCATTTACATTTCACAAGATATGGAACAATTACTGATACCAAACTCATATCCCTTTCTTTCTTCCACAACTATATCAAATCTAAAGTTCTGTCTTAATACCCTGTATTAGTTACTCAACTAGTTGCTTACCATTATCATGAAACTTCAGACCAAACTCAAGAACAAACAGAAAATACAATCATAGAAACTGAAATCTTAGTTCTTTATTCTATGATGTGAAAGATGCATTTTAAGGAATCATAAATTAATCTCCTATTATGTGAGCCTTCCAATCCATGCTTAATAGTTTCCCTTTCTCATTTTGCCACTTATTTGGTTTTTATTATGTTTCACTTACATGCTTAGAGGATAAGGAAAAAAGAACAAATGGAATTTCACAGCAAATTGATTGTGTTCTTTCTAATTTTTTGAAATCTCTCCCTATTCTAATCAAATTTTATCTAAGTTACAAGCAAAAGAATATGAAATTGCTACAATTCATCCAAATTAATAGCTCTCTGTTGATCTTCTACCTCAATGCTTTCTGAGAGGCCTCATCACAAAATATACACAAAAGTAAAATGACACTACTACAAAAAAATATAAAAATCACACTTTTTTTGTGTGATGTATGTTATTTAATCACACCTTTTAGTTTTGTTAAAGTGTGATCTTTGGGAGTGTGATTAAAATGGGTCATTTTTAATCACATAAGTGTAATTAATAACATTTAGATCACACCTTTTAAGTATGATTAAAAATATTTAGATCGCATATTTTAAGTGTGATTAAAAATATTTAGATTATACCTTTTAAATGTGATTAAAAATATTTAGATCACACATTTTAAGTGTGATTAATAACATTTAGATCACACCTTTTAAGTGTGATTAAAAATATTTAGATCGCATCTTTTAAGTGTGATTAATAATATTTAGATCACATATTTTAAGTGAGATTAATAACATTTAGATCACACATTTTAAGTGATTAAAAATATTTAGATCACATCTTTTACAAATTTTAAGTGTGATTAATATCTAATAAAACATGTGATTAATAATCAGATAAGATCACACGTTATATGTATTTGAAGAATGTAATGCGCACTATATACTATATTTTGAATCACAACCATATATTGAATGGAATAACGTTATATATTTCATAAATGAAAGTTAAATGTTTAAAAGTATATACAAAGGAATTAATAAAAAGTTTTTAACTGTGCTTACATATATTAAAAAATAAAAAAACTTGAAAAAATGAAATTGTTGAATTCTTTGACCATATTTTGCATTTCTCCAAGAAATTTCTGACTTGAAAAATAAAAAACACAAATTAATTCAGAAACCACTAGAAGCATATGAATAAACTTAATATTTTTTGTAGAGATTGTTCTTGTCTTACAAAAGACAAAATCGAACATTTTCTCATCACACTGACTCGTCATCTACTGCATCAATAGAAAATGAATAACAACTTTGATTATTATTAGTATAAAATGTTTGGATTACCATATATAAATATGACATATACATAGAATCAATAAATCCAAAATGAAAATCTTCAATGTATGAGCAGATATTTTAAAGTCATAAAACCAAATATACATAGAATCAACAAATCTAAAATGAAATCTTGAAGTGATTATATATTCCTTACCAACTAAAGAAATTGTTGATTAGCAATTTAAATAACGGAAGTTATATCATACTTACATTGGATTTCAACTCATATTCTTTAGTACGAAATTAATCCATTCAACTCGCACTTCATCAAGTTCGGTTTCCGTGTAAGTCTTTTTTCCATTGAATTGCAAGAGGTTATTTACAAACAATTAGATAATATGAAGAAGATGTACAAGTATCATGAATATAATAGTAATAAAAGTATAGAATTTATCTCACATTTTGTTTTCCAGCTGTTTTATTGTCACTCTGATCAGAGTAGGGGACATACTGCTGAGTTTGGTGATCATAAGAATACCAAACCCTATTGTTACCATCATAATATAATCCTGCACATTTATAAAAAAAATAAAAATAATAATATAATCCTGCAAAACACAAGAATAAATAAATAAATAAAATATCGATCTTCATCAGAAACTAGACCAAATTCTATTTGGTCTACTCCACTAGCACTAGTACTCGTCCAGTTCATTAGCAGCAAAATAAAGCATGCTTGCATAAAAATAGAATACATATTATCATAGATATGCTTCACCTAATCATGGCATTAAAAATAAAAAAAAAATATTAATACTTTATGTTACATATTTGTTTACCACTAACCCAATTTTAACTAACAAACATGCCTTCATTGATTAGTATTGTTTTGAATTTTCAGAGTATAAAACAGAATATGAAGATATACGAATATTTCACAAGTTTTCTCACAATTATAAAACAACAAGAAGATGTTGAAATCAAAACAATAATGACATTTTCTATCTGAGAAGTTGCGAATGTCAATATAAAATATCATCATTTCACTCTGTTTATGACAATATCATGGAGTTGGGGGGTTTAAGGCTTCTTGTGGCCATGACTCCATATGTTCATGAGAAATGACATCTGTGAATGAACCGACAATAAATACACAAGAAGAAATTGGTAGGAGTAAATATTTTTTATAAAACAAAAATATTAATTATTTTCAAGAAATATTCCTCATGAAAACTTTTGTATATCTCCACAAATTAACCCTCTGTAAACCTCAAAATTTGGAAGAAAGATCCCCCATCAGTATATTGGATAGGTTTGTTAGCAGCACCCAACAAATACTGCTCTCAAAGTTGTACAATTCTATTGAGTGATGTCTCTCCTTTCATCTCTCTGAATAGTGTAGAAATATCGGGGCTCTGCTCAAAATTTCAAATATAAAAAACCTTGTAACAATTACTAAAATTATATTTTCTTAAAATAATCCATACTGAAAACCATCTACAAATGCAGAGCAATCCAAGCCAACCATAAACTCCAAAATAGAAATGATGTCACAATGTAATGGTCAGTTGACAGCAGAAATCCAAACCAGAGGCCTTTTAAAAATTGAACGCCACCACAAGACCAATGATTAATGAAACTAATTATTTGATGCACACTGAATAAGATTGTTAAAGATTTAGGATGCCACACTAGTGCACCAGTCCAATTGCATGAGAAACACATATTAGAACTTTCACTTATAGAACCCAACATTGATATCACGGGGGCTATGGCTCACATGATACAACACTTGCAACATTTGCCTATATTATGCATAAACATAAAATCAAGACAGCTTTTATAGTAACAATGAGGAAAACAACAACTAAAATGTAGCTTCCAAATAAATAAATACCTGTATTTCCATCATAATAGAATTCAGAAGAAGCATCATAATAATAGCCAGATGCTTCATCCCAAACAAAGCCAGATTGTAATGAATAAGCATCCTTAGACGTGCAACCTCTCCACCACTTGGCTCCTGCCCACCAGAGGGCTGCTTATTGTCTGGATTATACTCCTTTGGTGCCCATCCAACAGCATCATACTACAAGGATTAAAAGGAGGGAATGTATTTATTCAATCAGGTTTGTCAACAATATAGACTAATTGCATCTAACCAATACAAGAAAATAAGAAGAGATCAGCCAGGTAGAATGTGTGCATGTGTGCATACACGTGTGAGCGTCTTTGGAAGCAATCATGAGCTCAAAGTGTTTGCTTCCTGAGTTACCATTGCAATGAATCCTCTCCTTAAATTACATAACACTAAAAACAACTTCAGGTCAGCAAAAGGACCACAGTGGTTTTCTAGATAGCAGGGATAAAGAATGGGATGAATAAACTATGAAAAATCCAAGAACAAGCACAAAGTGTATCCTGCAACGTATATGATGCTACGTAGGGGCAGAGCCAGGATTTCTCCATAGGAAGTCATACGGCAGATCTCGCCTAGCTGTTAATGGATCGACATGAATTTTATTTGATTAAATCATTATTGATTATTACTTAATAAAGGCCAATTGAACCAATAAAATTATAAGAGATTAATCTCAATTAAACATTATTTGTATAGTTTTTATAGTTGAAGGGATCAAAATGATATATACTTAGTGGGTTATTAATCTCATTTTTATAAGAGATTAATCTCATTTTTATAAAAAGATATATAGAAAAATAAAAAAATAATATGATCAAAAAAAAGATAAAAAAATATGTACTTAGTGGGTTATTCCAAACAATCCCTTAGACAGAGATATCGTTACGTCGCAGAGCCTTGGAGTACTCTAAGAATCTGCGTCCGATTTACGCGGATCCTATTCGCACACTCAATTCGTGATCATTATTTCCAATAATAATTCAAAAAATCATAAATAAAAGCAACGAACTTTACTATACACAGAAAATTCATGTAAAAGCGAGGAAAATAAAAATTTAAACATCGAAATTACTAAAATTATACATACCTGTATCAGTAATCTCACTCTCCGGTGAATCATGTCTCATCGAATCTTCATCCACCACCTCACCACCGCCATTTTCATTGCTCTCCGTCGATTCCACTTCAGAAACTCCTCGACTCTTCTCCTCTTCGTTATTCTTCTTCTTCACATCCTCGCCTTCCTCTCTGTTTTTCACTTTCTTCTCAGCCACTCGTCGAAGCTCGATCGCGACATCGGCGATGGAGTAGAACTTCTGCATCTGTATAATCGGGATCCAATTCAGTCGCCGCCGGTGGATCGCAGTGAACGCCGAATCGTACTCCGATCCTCCGCCGCCCTCAAGCTGTTTCAGGTGACTGCACAACGCGTCGATGATGGCGTTCGCCGCCGCAAACTCTCCCCGGAACCACGCGATAATCGCGTCCTTGGCAAACGACTCGGACATCATCGCAGGAGCTTGTTGAACCGTCGCCGGAATCATCATCGGGACTCGGTTGGATTGTGACTCAACGCCTGCCGCCGGCGACATCTCAGGTACTAACTCTTCTTCTCCTTCTCGTTGAATGCTATTATCGTTTTGGTGGTTACCTTTCGGCCGAAATTACGGTGATTTTGAACGGGTTTTCTAGAGAGAGAGAGAGAGCGAAAGCCAAAAGGTTGGGGATGAAAGCGAGAGTTTGGTTCAAGAGATTGAGGATTTTGGGTTTGGGTTTGGGGCGAGGGGAAACCTGAGCTGGAATGGAAAAGAAGGGGGGGGATTTTGGATTTGGGTTGGGGGAACCCGAGCGGGAATGGAAAAGGAACGGGGGAGAATGGAAATTTTTTTTATTTTTTTTATTTTTTTGATTTTCATTACAAATGAATATTTAAATAATAAAACGACTCTTTTTTTTTTTTTGCAACGGAGAATGTCATTGCTATAAAAAATTATTTTTTATTAAAATAATTTTTTTATAGTTAATGAATTTTTGTTTTTGTTTTTTCATTTAGTAAGGTTGAAAATTTATTTGTTTCATATTTATTTTAATGAATACAAAATTATTATTATTTTTTTATTTGGTAGAAGTAGGGATAATATTTTCCATTAAAATAAAGTTAATTTTTTGTGGCCAATGAAAAATATTTTTTTACGACCCATTTTTTTTTTGTTAAGTGATGGTGAAAGAGATAAGTGGTGAAGTTGTGGTAGTGGTAGAGGAGATAGAATAGTGGTGGTAAAGAGTGAGCAAGGTGAACATAATGGGGGAGAGAGACAAATAGACAGACAGACACATAGAGAGAGAGAGAGAGAGAAGAGCGAGAGACAGACACAGAGAGAGAAAGAGATAGAGAAGAGTGATAAGTGAGAGAGAGACAAAGAGAGAAAGAGATATAGAGAGAGAGAGAGACAGGGAGACAGAGAGAGAGAAATAGAGCGAAAAGAGATGATCGAGAGAAAGACATAGAAAAAGAGAGACGAGGAGAGAAGAAAGATGGGCAAGAGAGACAGAGAGAGAGAAATAGAGAGAAGATAAATGAGCGAGAGAGAAGAGAGATAGAGAGATGAGAGAGATAGATAGAAAAGAGATGAACGAGAGACAAAGAGAGAAAAAGAAAGAGACAGAGACAAAGACTGACAGACAGAGAAGAGTGATAAGTGAGAGAGAGAAGAGAGGTAATATTTTGTGGTAGAGGAGAGGAAGCGGCAGCAGTGGTGAAGGTGGTAGAGGAGATGAGTGGTGAGAGAGAAAGATGAGTGAGAGGCACACACACACAGAGAGAGAGAAAAGAGATGAGAGAAGAGATAGATGAATGAAAGTAGTAGTAGTGGCAATAGTGGTAGTGGTGGTAGTGGAGTGGTGGCGATGGTAGTAGTAATGGTAGTCGTAGAGATGAAATGGCGACCGTGGTAGTAGTGGTGGTAGTGAAATGGCGTTTGCAGTAGTGGTGAAGGTAGTAGAGGAGATGAGTGGTGAGAGAAAGAGATGAGTGAGAGACACAGAGAGAGAGAGAGAGAAAAGAGATAGAGAGAAGAGAGATAGATGAGAGACACAGAGAAAAAGAGAGAGACAGACAGACAGAGAAGAGTGATGAGTGAGAGAGAGAAAGATAAGAGTAACAGAGACACAGAGAGAAAGAGAGAGACGGACAAACAGAGAAGAGTGATGAGTGAACCGCAACCTCTGATTTTTTTTTAATATATAAATTACGTTTTTTAAGAATTTTTTATAAAAATAATTTAACAATCTTATCACTAACCATAGCGCATGAGAGAAGTTGAAAAGGGTATTGCAGTAACTATACACAGATTGTATCTATAATTATTTGTATGAGGGGATTTTAAATACTGATAGGGGATTTTGACCAAATCAATAAATGCAAGCATGTGGAAAGACGTGGATTGAAAAAAGTTAATAAATGCTGATCAAGGGATTTTGACCAAATTAATAAATGTTCATTTTTTTTAAATAAAAAAATTTAGAAAATTCAGATTTGGATATTGAAGCTCCCACAGGCCTTGGAGACCTTGAGGTTAAAACCTCCCTTTTACTTAATATATAGTTATAATATATATATATATTTTTAATAAGAATTTTATATTTGTTTTAGATATTTTTTTAATATACTAAATTATTTTATTTTTTTTATAAAAATAATTTTAACCATCCCCATTCACTAGCCATAGTATATGCGAGAAGTTGACAGGGTGAGGGGTAAGGTATGAGAAAAGTCAAAAAGTGGGTTGGAGAGTCAAAAATGCTGAGTTCTTTTTTTTTTTAAAATCAAAAAATTTTTTAAATTAAGATGGGATATTAGACTCCCATAAGGTTTGTAAATTTAAACCCAATTTCCTTATATAATAAGAGGCAATACTAGGTATCATGAAATTTTTTTATGAAAATGATCATGAAAGATTTATGATTCTTGGAATTAACACTTAAAATAAAGCACCACGACAACTAAATCAAGGTAATCCAAGGGTCATAATTCTTTTTATGATCATTATCATGAAATTTTTTCATGATCCTTAGCTTTTCTTAAATATATAAGTGAATAGAATAGATAGATAGATATAAATATGGCACATAAACGTTTATAATGACACAAGGACCAAAAAGTATCGGACAAACTGGGCTGCAATTTTTGCCCCTCATCTAAATTAAAGGATTTAAAAAGTTAAAAAAAGAAAAGTAAAAAAAATTATAATATTAAAAATGTTACTAAAAAATATAGATTAAAAATCAAAAGTTTAATTATTGAAAAACGCATATTAAACAAGGTAATTGGTTTTTTTATTAATTTTGAAAATTAAAAAATTATTATTAATTTTTCTCTGTTTTTTTTTCTGCACAAAAAAAAAGTTACATTAATTATCTTCTTTTCTTTTTTTTGTGGAAGGGGGTTTTGACCTGCGATTTTTCCCTAAAATGTGGTGTTCTAGATGAAATCGGTAGAATTGGTTTAGTAAATGAGAAAAAGTGCTTATGCAAGGGCACCTTCACCTAATGAGAAAAAAATAGTCTGGTTTTTGCATAGGGTGCCTTCTTGGATAATAGCTTTTCATACAACATGCATGAGGGCTTAAGTGGAGACATATGAGAGGGGCTTTAAAGTGCGAAAATAAAAGAAATGGTTTCAGAGTGTCTTCTCTTGTCCACGACTTCAATACTTGTGAGAGGGAGGTAGGCTCATAGTGGAGAGAGAATGAGGGTTTGGTAGGAAGTGTCTTCTTGGGTCATGACTTGAGTGTCTGTGCACATGAAAAATGAGTGATAAGGGTCAGAGTGTGTCTCTGGAGGTGACGGTTTCAGTGCTCCGAACACAAAACCATAGGCATTTAATAAAGAGAAAAATAATTAGTGATAAAATATTTTTGTCTCCTTAAATACAAGAACAGAGAATTTATTATTTGTGACGAAATATTTTTTGTCTTCCACAACATAACCTTATAGACGAAAAATATATTCATCGCGCAATCAATCAGAATTTATTGTGACGAAATATTTTCATCTCCCACAACTTATTCTTAAAGATAAAAATATTATTTGTCGCCCATTTAATAAGAAAGATGAAACGAACATCGTTTGCATGATGGAGTGTTTTTTATTGGTGATGAAATAATTTTTGTCTTCCATAATTATCATTCCAGACAAAAATATATTGGTTCGCTATAAATGGAAATATGCAAGCGACATTGTTTTAATAGGTAGGAAATTTATTGGTGACAAATTACGTTCGTCCGCAAAAAAATATATATTTTGTGACAAAAATGTTCATCTCCAATTGAAGCTAAAATAATTTCGAGCCAATGCAATGAAATTGGCACCTGAATTTTGCAGACGAAATTCTTTTTTCGTCTCCTATAAACGTTTGAGAAAAATAAAACAAACGGACCAAAAATTCAAATTATTTGTCATCTTTGGGGTTATTTTTAAGACAAAAAAAATTTTCAAATCACCAAATTTTGTCACAATAATAGCCTAGATTTTTTGTATTTTGTTTCCTTGTTTAATTATTATTATTATTATTAATTATTATTATTATTTTCTTGTTTGTGGAGAGGGGTTTTATTGTGGAAAGAATAGTAGCTTTGCACAAAATGTCTTTCTTGGATTAATAATGTTTGCAAGCACAAATGGCTTAAATATGAGAGAGAATAGAGGAACTTCAGTGCCAAAATAGAAGAGTGGTTTATAAAGATTGTTTTCTCGAGTCACATCCCGCTTCAATACTTGTAAGAGAGGAGACTCATAGTGTGCGAGAGAATGAGGATTTGTAGAGGGTGTCTTTTCGGGGTCAACGAACTTTAGGTATTTGTGTGTGTGGTGAAAGTAAGGTGGATTAAGGAAGAGTGTCTCTTAGTTTCTGACGCATTTTAATAAAGAGGAAATAATTAGTGACAAAATATTTTCGTTTTCAAACTCATATGTTTCATTGGCCTAATCAACAAAAATATAAAAACAACGGGTTGTGTGGGGATGGAGAATTTATTTGGGATGATATTTCGTCTCCTTCAACTTAATGTATGAGACGAAAATATATATTCGTCGCACAATCAATCAAAATGCAGACACGACACATGGAGAATTTATTAGTGACGAAATATATATAAGTCACCCAAAACATATCATTCCGAGACAAAAAATATAATTTGGTCGCCTATTAACAAAAAGATAAAATGAGCATGGAAAGGGTTTTAATTGGTGACAAATATTTTCGTCTCCCATAACTGTATACTTTCCGAAAAAATAATATTTGTCACCAAAATAAAATAAGGAAAATGAAACGCATCGTCTAATAAGTTTGGAAATTGTATTGGTGATCGAATTCCTTTTGTCGCAAAATACTTTAAATTTGTGAGCAAAAATGTTCGTCTCCAATGAGCTAAAATAATTGGGCAACAAGAAAAAAAATTGGCGGCCTCTTTTTTCTAGACGAATTTTATTTTTTCGTACTCTATCAGTTTGGAGAATAATTAAAAGAAACGACAAGTAATATTTGGTCAGTTTGGGTTATGTTCTAAAACGAAAAAAAA